TCGTCTATAGCAACGTATGGGCTCCGATCTCTCACCCTCGACTTCGGCCTTCGCTGCATTTTCCGGTGGGTTTTCGTCATCGCAGACGTAGTTCAACCGATCATCGGCTCGGACTTCCTCTCATACTTCGATTTGGACGTCAGCGTGCGGCGGCGCCGCCTCATAGATAGTAAGACTCGTCTCTCCATCTCGGGACTCCTGTCCGACATCGCTCGAATGGCCATCCGCATGCTGATACCTTCCTCACCGTTCGAAAAAATCTTGGCGAGTTTCCCGGAGTTAACTAAACCGTGCAACCTCACTCAGCCACCTAAACATACGGTGACACACCACATCGTCACCCGGGGTCCACCGGCAGCCGCTTGACCACGCCGCTTGTGCGGAGACCGCCTAGCTATTGCTAAACGGGAGTTTGACCACATGCTGCAGCTCGGCATTATCCGCACGTCGTCAAGCGCTTGGGCTTCCCCGCTGCATTTGGTGCCAAAACGTGATCCTGGTGACTGGCGTCCTTGTGGGGACTATCGAGCGTTGAACGCCAAGACTGTCCACGACAGCTATCCTCTACCTCACATCCAGGATTTTACATCGCGCCTCGACGGCTGCACAATTTTCAGCAAAGTGGACCTTGTTAAGGCGTACCACCAGATTCCTGTCGAGCCCGCCGACATACCTAAGACCGCCATCACGACGCCCTTTGGGTTGTTTGAATACGTGCGGATGCCTTTTGGACTCCGCAATTCGGCTCAAACTTTCCAGCGGTTCATTTCTGAGGTCACACGGGGTCTTCCTACTGTGTTTGCGTACCTTGACGATGTCCTCATCGCCAGCCGCACACCTGAAGATCATGAGCACCATCTACGCGCTCTGTTCCAACGTCTTCAGCAGTACGGCCTCGTTGTGAACGCCTCTAAGTGTACTTTCGGCGCATCTGAGCTCGAGTTCTTGGGCCATCACATATCATCCAAAGGAATACGCCCTCTCCGGTCCCACGTTAAAGCAATTCAGGATTATCCTCAGCCTACAACACTGCGCCAATTACGCCAATTCCTGGGGCTTGTGAATTTTTCCAGGCGCTTCATACCACACTGTGCCGAACTGCTACGACCGCTCACCGACCTCCTTCGGTCGACCGCCGGCCCGTCCTCCGCCATTCCTTGGTCGTCAGAGGCCCAGGCCGCCTTTGCTGCTGCTAAGCAAGCGGTCGCTAACGCCGTGCTTCTCATTCATCCACGCAGCAACGCCCCTACTCGGTTGATGGTGGACGCATCCAGCGTGGCCGTCGGAGCCGTCTTACAGCAGTGCATTAACTCCGAGTGGAGACCCTTGTCGTTTTACTCTCGGAAGCTACTTCCTGCTGAGACCCGCTACAGCGTCTTTGGCCGGGAACTACTAGCCATCTACGCTGCAATACAGCACTTTCGGCATTTCCTGGAAGGATGCTCGTTTTACGTGCTTACTGACCATAAGCCACTGGCGTATGTTTTCCGCACTAACTCATCCAAGTACGTGCCCCGTGAACTCCGCCATCTGGCTTATATATCGGAGTTCACGACTGACATCCGCCACGTGAAAGGAGCTGACAACACCGCCGCAGATGCCCTTTCTCGTATAGCCGCGGTTGACTCTCCACCGCCAACCATCGACTGGGCCTCATTCTCCTCGGCACAGCAGGATGATAGAGAGCTTGCCGCTTTTCGGGAGAACCCCCGTTCTCTCCGACTACGCCTGGTGCCTCATCCATTATCATCTGAGCGCTTGTGGTGCGATGTCTCAGCTGACCTTCCCCGCCATTTCGTTCCCGCTTCATTACGACGCACCGTTTTCCACTCCTTACACGACATCTGTCACCTTGGCATTCGGGCTACTCAGCGTCTTCTCACCCAGCGCTATGTCTGGCCCGGAATCAACGGTGATGTGCGCGCTTGGACGCGCATGTGCCTGCCCTGCCAGATGACAAAGGTCTCCCGTCATACTAAGACGCCGCCCCAACCTTTCCTTCCACCCGGCCGTCGTTTCGACCATGTTCATCTAGACATTGTGGGCCCTCTACCAGTGTCTCAGGGGTACCGTTATATATTGACCATGGTCGATCACTTCACACGCTGGCCGGAGGCTGTTCCAATTCAAGATATCACAGCCGAGACAGTTGCCCGCGTTTTCATTTCTACGTGGGTATCCCGTTTTGGCTGTCCTGGCACCGTGACAACAGACCGTGGACGTCAGTTTGAGTCCTCGCTGTTCACTTGCCTTAATCGCATCCTCGGAGCCAGACATTGCCGTACCACGGCTTATCATCCCTGCGCCAACGGCATGGTGGAACGCCTTCACCGACAACTGAAGACCGCCTTGTCTACCCGCCTCAATAGAGCCACCTGGGTTGATGCCTTGCCACTGGTGCTCTTAGGTTTACGAGCTGTCATCCGGGCAGACCTGCAGTGCTCAACAGCAGAGCTGGTGTATGGCACTTCTCTACGGCTTCCGGGAGACTTCTTCACGTCAACGAAGCTACCAGACCAGCCACAGCAATTCCTACAACGCCTCCTCGACTGAGTTCAAGACCTCCGGCCCACTCCACCCAGACCTTCCGAACACAAGACCATATTCGTCCACCCTGATCTGGTCACTGCAACACATGTTTTCGTGCGCCACGACGCGGTCAGACCACCTTTGACACCAGCCTACGACGGACCATTCTGCGTCCTTCACCGCACCCCCAAAACTGCCACTCTACTTCAGAACGGCCGTGAAGAGACAGTCAGCTTGGACCGACTCAAGCCGGCGTACCTGGAGACCGCCCTAGAAAGCCTCTCATCTACGACTGATCTTCCGTTGGAACACCACAAACGGCATGTCACATTCCGACTTCCAGTCTACACGGGGGGCCCTGTAGCGCCCTCGTTCGGGCGGCGCGCAAACCGGAGAGCGCGCGATGGCGACAGAAGAAAATAAAGAAGGCGCTAGGCCGTCGCACGTGAAGCCACGGCTCGCGTTCCTGGCTGGCATCGGTTACCGTTCAGGCGTGTCTTTCTTTCGCTCCTGTGGCATAAGCCTACAAAGGAATGATAGGGAAGTGACAATTCGCACTTTCTTCTCTGCTGCCATGAGCAGAGAGAGAGGAAATTAAAATAACAAAGGTAGGTCCTAGACTAAGCTACTCATTACTATGCAGGTTGAACTTATTGAATAATGATAGCCAAGTACCAATTCGCACTTTCTTCTCTGCTGTCATGAAAGAACAGAGGGGGGGGGAACAATATAACAAAGGTAGGAACTAGACTAAGGTAATCATTACTACGCAGGCTGAACCTATTAAGGAACAATAGGCTAGTGACAATTCATACTTTCTTCTCTGCTGCCATGAGCAGAGAGAAGGGTAACAATATAGTAAAGGTAGCGCGTTTAACTAGACTAAGCTAATCATTACTATGCAGGCTGAATTTATTATGGAACTATAGACTAGTGACAATTCACACTTTCTTCTCTGCTGCCATGAGCAGATAGAGAGTAAGAAAAACAATATAACAAAGGTAGAGAGGGTAACTAGACTAAGCCAAACATTACCAGGCAGGCTGAACTTATTAAGGAACGACAGGCAAGTGACAATTTGCACTTTTTTCTCTGATGCTATGAACAGAGATAGAGAGAGAGAGGGAAACAATATAACAAATGTGGGGAGGTTAACTAGACTAAGCTAATCATTACTATGCAGGCTGAACTTATTAGGCAACTATAGGCAAGTGACAATTCGCACTTTCTTCTCTGCTGCCATGAGGAGAGGAGAGCAGGAAACAATATAACAAATGTAGGGAGGTTAACTAGACTAAGCTAATCATTACTATGCAGGCTGAACTTATTAAGGAACGACAGGCAAGTGACGATTCGCACTTTCTTTTGTGATGCCATGAGCAGATACAGAGATAGATACAATATAAGAAAGGCTGGGAGGTTAACTAGGCTAAGTTCAGTTTGCTACGAGCAGAAGCTGCAAAAACAGGTCATGCCATCTAACAAAGCTGGCCAGGAAGCAGAATTGATTATGCTCACCAAGAAGCACTGCTCAGATATAAAGTCGATATGGTTACAGCATAGAAATATTCCGGACAGGCCAACTCATCCAAACAACCACAATTCTGCATATAACACGAATCGCTGCAGACATTCCGACAATAAATACGTTGCAAATTGACTCTCCAATATTTTTTCTGAGCCGCGAAAGCTGTCTCAGCTATGGCCGCGTATACTATTTGATGGAAGCAAGAAGGTTGGCTGCAGGCAAGAACCATGTCAAGTCATACACAGAATGTGCCAGCAGTATCATTTAGAAATTTCCGCTATCCGGCGGCAATGTATGTCTACCAGACGAGAAGGTGCGTGAATGAGCGTGCACGGAACACAAGCTTTCGCTAAAATATAAAGCTGGGGAACATTTGCTGACACATGGTAGTGTCCATAATTGTGAGCCATGCCTGAATAAGATTCATGTTATTGAAGCCGGGACACCACTTCTCGGGAATGGTGGCAGCCATATCATGCAAAAGCACGAGGTTCCATATATACCAATGATACTTCAGTGTCTCTCTCACAGGCAGATAGCAAGTTCTTAAATCACAAGTTTGATTAGGGTGCTTTGCACTCGATGTGTGCCTACTTTGCTGGCCATGTCTGTGCTTATAAACTGTGATGCAGGATATAATAAATAAACACTCGAAATTTGGGCTCTTTTGACCTCTTCTCGGGTTATTTTGTTGCGCAAAATAGCCATATTTCTGTGGCTTGTACACAAACATGAACCAACTAACCCAAAAAAGAATACTTCTGGCTACTAACACAAACTGTTAAACTTCGCAATAGAAACTGCTTAATATTTTGGTGCGCAAATGAATGGGGTGACTATGTCAGGTTCACTGTTATAATAGGCGAGTAGTATTTCCTATACAAGCAGACAAATTTTGCGTTGTAGAATTTTAAATGTTTTAAGGAACGTTTACGGTACTCACCTGTATTTTTAAAAGCGGTAGATGCCATGACTAATACGGAACACATGAAGAGGTAGTTCCCTAGCATGGCTGTAAAATAGAAACGTATTGGTTAGCAACGATGAATGAATTTCATAATATTTTGTTAAATAGTTGATTGATTGACATATGCAACTTAAAGTGCCAAAGCACTATATGATTATAAGAGAGGCTGCAGTGGAGAGCTCTGGAAATTGTGACCACCTGGGGTTCTTTAACGTGCACCCAAATCTGAGCACACGGGCCTGGAGCATTTTCGCCTCCATCGACAATGCAGCCGATGCAGCCGGAATTCAATCCCGCGACCGACGGTTCAGCAGCCGAGGCGGGGCCCTGTTAAAAAGTGATTAACAACAGTGCCACATGTTCAGTCACTCAAGCTCTTTTCGGTGATACCAGCCATACTTGTCATGGCCCATGTCCCAAGATATACAGCAACTACCGGCAGAGTGTGAAAGATTCTTTGGCGTTGTTAACTTTATTAAGCTAGGAATTGAGATGTGAAGTGTCAAGTTTGAGGCATCGGCTGCTAGAAAGTAAAAGTAAGAGTATGTTCTATCACTGGTAAATATATGTTACGGAGTGTGTAAAAGCAGCATTATAGTTTCTAGTTTCTTTCATACTTATTAGCAGAGTTTCATAGTCACTAATTACTGAAATTGGTAAGTAATAGCAAGTGTGTGGCCAACATGGTCTCCGATTTTCAACAGAGAAGATGTTGACGCAAACTAATGACAACAGTTTGTCTTGATATTAAGGCGGCTACGGCAAGGTGTTGCATTATTCGATGCTTGATGCGCTAGAGGATGTCGGCCTCGGTGTCTGCCTTTATGCAAGAATCGTGTGTTACCTTTGAGAACGTACAGTGTTTATGTCGACTAGTGGAGAAGATACAGATCATTATCATCTTCTCCGTGAGGTTCCTCAAGGAGGTGCTCTCAACATCAAGTTGATTGGACTTGATACTGAAGTTCCTGACACGGTGAAAGTTAGCTAATATGTGAACAACATCTGCATGTGGGCGCATGAAGCTAGCGGGCGCCGATTGCGTACTCGATATAAGGTGCCTCGACCATCACAGTAAGGTACTTACAACGTCCTGGTCTCGCACCCACAACTGAAGAGTGCACACTGCTTTCATTTACGCGTAAACAAAAAAAATGTTATCCAACAATCGGGAATGAAACAGAGATGCCTGTTGTGATTCCTTGGTGTGATCAGAGTCCCTAAACACCTTTACTGGTGATGGAGATTCGACAAAAGATTCATATAAGAACAGGAGCAACCCCTAGGGAGCCCTCACCTACAGTGGGGCACGGACATCGGAGTGGCCGCGGCGCTGCAACGGTACGGCACGCGCCGGAGCTGTGAAACGTTATTGAATGTAGCCTTAAAGGTTTATTACGCCTTTATAGTGTTGTAATTGCCTTAAAGGAAATTCAGGGAAACTCTAATACAGTGCAGTTTAGCGTAAGATGGGGCCTTGAAGCTAAAAATTTGAGGACATGCTGATTCCACTGTGAGATTTGCTACCTGTATAACAGCGTGCTTCTTTTTTTTCTTGTGAAGCATCTAGTGAAAATTCGTGGACAATACAGTGTTTACAACGACTTTGGTGATTCTTAAAGGGGCCCTCTACTGCTTTAAAACATCGGTGCTTGCTGCATAACTCGTGGTGGTGCTCGCAAGAACTATTGCGAGCAGAAATGACAATGGAAGGCTCTGACCTGTAATTAGATCGATGTAACGTTATATCTCATCACGGCATTGCATCAAAATAGGGATTAAATTAGATTTCTTTTAGAGGCGAAGCTTCTCAGGCCGTGGGTAGTTTCCTACTCTGCAGTAGTAGTAGCTGTAGAATGTAGCCACCTCTAGTTTGTGAGTTGCTCAATAGATGGCGTATTGTGTATATGTACTTGGGAATGATATAACTACATGGCGTTAGTGGTTTTCACAGCATGTCCAAGGTATATGTAAACTGCGGGCGTAACTTTCGTAGAAGCTCGTGGATCCAGTAGTCGGTGGCTCGTTGTCACCGACACCATCTACGTGAGGAGGGGACAACTAACAGCCAAAAAATAATAAAAATTAAAATATGAGGTCATAACCATAAGCTGTAGCGACGTTGCGCATTAGCCCTTCATTACACGAAATTGAATTTTTTTCAATTGCTGACCAGCTACGTGCCTTTATTATTACGCAATTTTATTTCGCCCTAATAGTGTCTCGCTCATGACATGCGAGAGAGAGAAGAAGCGAAAATAAAAAGATTGAGGAAGCAAAATTGTTTTATTAGCCAAGTGACGTCCTTGCAATATGCACAAGAAACTTCGCAGAAGCAATTGTAAGACAACTGTTCACGAGCACAATAGCACAATGGTTCGAAAACTCACGTTGTCCAATTGTTGAAAACCACTGAAGTGAGACCGTAGCTTTCAATATACAGCTTTCATAGCCGTATAGTACCGCGCCTTATTGCTTAGCCGGTCGCGTTCACAGTCACAAAGGCGAGGGCACGCTGGCCGTGCGCCAGCGAATGCAGTCGGCAGCTACAGGACCGGCTATCTACACAATCTGCGAGCTAGTTGAGCTCTGAAATGGACATAAAAACAACTTAACTTCTGAAGGTACGCACAAAACCACCACCGAAAAATGAGCGATGGCTCGTTGAACTAGTAATGAACCGAACAAAACGCAAGCTCTGTTAACACATTGCCTGGATACGCCCCCAAATTAGTTGGCCCATGTTAGAAGACTGCCTGCGTGTGTACGATTTTTCGGAAATCAAACGAAAAAAAAATGCCCGCTTAACCACATACGAAAGTCCAAAGTTTTCTTAAAATAATCTAGTAGTGTTTTACAATCTAATGTAAATACACGTTGAAATACTTTGTTTTTCGCTATTTGTCCCCCCCCCCCCCCCTCACCTAGTCGCGCTTCTATCGTCACGTGGCTGTTGATGTCGGTTGCAATAGGTTTCAGACCCCTTTTCGTTCTGAATTTCACGACCAATTTAGGTTGACCTGGGCATATCCACGGAGTGAATGATGATGAGTGAGGCGAAGCCTCCGTCCATCCATCCATCCGTCCGTGTGTCCATCCATCCGTTCGTTCGTCCTTCCGTGCTTCTGTTCATCCGTCGATCCGTGAGTCTCTACATGCTTACGTTCGTCCATCCGTCCATCCATTCGTCCATCTATCCCCTGTAGTAGTAGCAGTAGTATGTAGCCACCTCTAGTTTACGAGTAGCTCAATAGATGACGTTTTGTGTATACGTAGTTGGTAATTATATAACTAGATGATGTTAGAGGTTTTCATAGCATATACAATGAGTGAATGATGATAAGTGGGGCAAAGCGTTCGTCCGACCGTCCATCCATGTGTCCATTCGCCCGTTCGTGCTTTCTTTCCTCCTTCCGTGCTTCAATCCGTGAGCCTGTTCATGCTTCCGTCCGTCCGTCCATCCGTACGCCCATCCATGAGTTGTTACTTGCTTCTGTCTGTCTGTCCATGCATCCGTCCGTTCGCCCATGCTTCTGTCCGTCCGTGCGTCCGGGCGGACAGACAGAAGCACGGGCTGACAAATGGACGCATGGACGGACGCATGGATAGACGTATGGACGCAAACACGAACAGATGAAAGGAAGGACAGACGCTTCGTCCCACTCATCATCATTCACTCTGTTGATATGCTGTGATTCTTTAGCAGGGTTTTTCACTAAACGCGGAAGGGAATACAGCTCTGAGACTTGATCAGCTCGAATACTGCGAAGCCGATCAAATAATGCCCCAAACGCCACGGTGCTGGAAGAAACGCACTGGGGGCGCTGCAGGCACCGTTATTTCAGAAGAATGGTAAGTTGGCCGAGTCGATAATGATCCTAAAAGGGCCTTGTAACACTATTTAAGCATGGTCAAAAAACGCTGCTGATCGGTAGTAGAGTTCCCGACTAGATGCGAGCTACATATTATAGAATATCACGTGGCCTGGAATTAACAATAAATTATCAAAGTCAGCTTAAAATTGCTTTGTCTTCTCTCAACAAATTACGGAATAAGACCAAAAATCACTCGTAGTAAGCCCATCTATCAGTTATTGGCTGATTTGAACATGGTGCGCTTGGTCGTTACAGAGAACGCCGCGGGAGGCCGCTACTGTCCACGCGTGCGCGCGCGGTCACACTGAAAAACTCGCGCATTCGAAGAAAAAAAAAGAAAAGTACTCAAAGTCCGGAGGCGTGCGTGACGTTTTTTGTTTGCCCCTCCCATTCCTCCCTGCTTAGCTTTTAGTACTTCCGTCGGGACGAGAGAAGAGAGAATGCGATTGCAGCACGTGACAGATCTTTGTAACTCCACTAGTACTGAACAGATTGTTAAATTGACGCGGTGTTGATTTTTTGAGACAAAATTCTTCTCCAATGAATTATTTTATGGTTACTCAAAAAAGTGCTTCAGGGCTTTTTTAATGTATGCAACTGCGCGAAAAAATGGACGGAAACAAGAAACGAGCGAAAATGAGAGATAATGTATGGAACAGCGCTTGTTTGCCCTTTGCTCTCGTTTTTTGGTACCATCCGTTTTTCTTTGCGCAGCCACATACATTATGGATCATTGCGTGAAGTAACAAAAAGGAAAAAAAGTATTAAAGTGTTCATAAATAAACAACATCGCAAAAAGAAAGGTCAGTAAAGGCTAAAAAATCACCGCATGTCTACAGATAGAATGCTGATGAGTGGGGCGAAGCTCCGGAGGCGTCCATCCGTCTGTCTGTCCTTTGTACACCTGTCTGTATTCTGTGCATCTGTCTGTCTTCTGTACACCTGTCTGTCTGTCTGTCTGTCTGTCTGTCTGTCTGTCTGTCTGTCTGTCTGTCTGTCTGTCTGTCTGTCTGTCTGTCTGTCTGTCTGGAGAGGGCACTGTCGGTGCTGGGGTTCGTTTCATAAGAACATTGGTCTCCCATATTATAGACTACACTTGCTGACATGCTTCTTCGGAGATCTACAGGTTTTTCCGCTCACTTTAATCCAAGTGCCAGCTTAAATTATCTG